GGGGAGGCTTTGTGGAGAAAGTGACTTGTGGGCTGAGTCTTAGAGGATCAGGAGGTAGCTGCTCTTCCATCAGTGGACAGAGAGGAGACAAGGACTCCCAGAAGCAGCATGACTGAGAGATCTAGAGAGTGTGACACATCTGTGCGCATGGATGCTCTGACTGATGATGAGATAAGAGTGGGGAGGGATAAGAGGTGAGGCAGGAGGTGGAGACCTCACAGAGGAGTTAAAATGTGGCCTCTCATCAGTCCCTAGATCCATAGTCTGTTTCCTCTGTGAAGCAGTCACATAAATGTCTTTCAGAGCAGCAACAGTGAAAAGGGGAAAGAGGGCAGCGGATTGACCTCAAATGAACTGGCATCTTTTTAAAGCCAATATTTCTTTTCAAGAATGCTTCATTAATTAAACACGTGGTCTGCAAGATTCATTATTGCTTTACTTGTGTTCACTGTTGGTTGTCTCATTCATTAATCCACTGATTAGTAATCCTGAACTCTTGCATTCTCCTTTTTTCTGCATTCCCTTTTTTAATATACTATGCTGTTCCCTTTGGGACATAAACTCCAGGACCCGTCCCTGGCCTGCTCATGTTTGTTTTCTTTGCCCCTTGTGCCTGCCTCTGCTATAACATTTGTAGTATGTGTTAAGTAATCCTTAAGGTAACATTTTTATTATGTCATAAAAAGTGCATGGCAAATATATTATAACTCATGGACTTTGTTTAAAAATGAACGGATAATTTATTGAGTGTGTTACATGAGCCTTACTCCCCTCCCCATTTCAGCAGAGACCTGCTGCTCATTTAGCTGAGCCTCCTATTGAGTGCTCCCAACCTGTGACATGCTGGGAAAGTAGACCCGTGGTTGGTTAGAAATGACATCATAGTTTATGTACTCAATAAAAATTTAATTAAGTCATTACAGGAATTGCAGTCATCATTTAACCCTCTGATTTCTTCTGTTTAGTTTATTATTAAACATTCAGTAATACCAGTCATTGAATCCTGATGGCTTATAAAATATCTGCATGAATTTTTATAGCTTAAATAAATGGGAAAATATGAGTAACTGATATAAAAGGAACCCTTTCCTTGTGGTGGTGCTGTATGTATGGGTTTTTATAAAAAGCAAAGCATTATAGAAAGGATAAGCATTTAATAAGAGAATAGCCCAACACCGTCTGGGAGAAGTTTCTCTTCTGGGTGAATCCGTATATTCACAGAGTGCTCCATATCGAATGATCTGGCTATGGAAAGACAGAACCTGCACATCAGAAAACAAAAGCATTAATAAAATCCACCAGGCATTCATCAGAGGGAATCTCTAGCTCCCTATGCTGCTGGGCCCAGCCGAGTGAGTCCAGCAGTTGAGGCAGCTGTTATTACTTGTCCTCACCTGTTGCCTGTGGCTCATGTGTCTGCACTGATCGATATTCTATCCTCTTTCAGGAAGGCCCTTCTCCTGCTCTAATCCAGCCTGAGTGATGAGATTTGAAAATGAGATTTCCTAGCTGTGGTAGCTTGCCATCTCTCAGCTAGAGGTGAGGGGGAGCTGCAGCTCATGGGCTAATGGACTTGGCATATAGGATGAGGAGGCCGAGGAGCTCACTGATAAGGAGCTCCCCTCCTGCGCACTGCTCTTCCTGGGCAGTGACCAGACAGAATGCAGGAGCATCTCAAGAGGAGAAAATGTGTTTGTATGTACATGGGCCTTGCTGGAAAGCAAGAACTGGGGTTTGCAGATTAATGTTGGTGTTGGTGATCTCTGGAAATGCCCTGCAGATGGTGAAGTAGGAAAAGCACTCACCCAGAAATCAGGTTCTATTCCTGGCTTTGACCCTAGCTTAAAGGTGTGACCTTGGATAAGTCTTTTCTCCTTTTGGAGTCTCAGTTCACCTTTTCCTCAAGGGTACTGAGCTAGGTGATCTCCGTGGGCCTTCCAGCTCCATTAAGGTAGGATGCACCACATAAACCAGCTCTGCTGACAGGCTTAGTGAGTGATTTCCTCTGTGAGGCGCTCTTGTCTTGGTGTTTGACTCTACTGATGTCCTTTTGTGGCACTGGTTTTTGCAGTTAGGAGAACAACTAGTGTGGACGTACAGAGAGCCCCAAAATGGTTATTGAGAGGTCTGGGTTGTCGTCTCCTCCTCACATCACAGAAGGAAGGAACTCTAGCTCTGACCTGTTTCTTGACTCTTCCTTTCACCTCACCCCATTTGGAAGATGGAACAGTAGAAGTTTGGGAGTATATATTTCTGAAATTTCAAAAACACAGAAGGTATTCAGCAGCAATAAAGAAAAAGAAAAAAAACCTGCATCACTAGATAGAACATGCCCTGCATGGCACTCAGGCCCTTGTGGGGAGTTCATTGTCAGTGTGCCTATCTTAGCCCCTGCTCTGGGTTAGGTCCTGGACCAGGTGTTTGGGGTGGCAAGATTAATAAAAACGGTTGCTATGACCCTTGAGTAGCTCCCAGACTAGTGGGAGCAGCAGGCACATAAACTCCAAACCATGCTGTGTGCCCAGGGGAGAAGTTCTCGGAGAGAGCTGTGAGAGCACAAAGGATGGATGGCCAGTGTGGCCTGGGCTGAATGTGGGGGAGAAGGGACACACTCCTGGCTGCGTCTGGGCTCACGTTTTCCAGCCTTGAGCTTTACGATTCTCTCTTCATTGTTGAAAATTATCCATGACTGTAAAGTATTGGAACTGGTTTTAGTTTTACACAAACAAATCAGAAATCACTCATAACTCCTTGCATTTGCAGAGCACTCTGCAGTTTACCAAGGCTTTCACCTTACGTGATTGAATTAGTGAATGAATACATGCTAGTTTACCAAGGCTTTTGGCGTACATTATTAAATTAATGAATGAATACCTGCTAACTCATGTTCTCTTCAAAGCAGCCATGTGTGTTAGGGCATTTAAAAGACCAGACTCAAAGAGGTTATTTGACTTGCTTAAGATGGCATCCTATGACATATATACATCTTATGACATACATACTTCCTATGACTTGAACTCTGCTTTTCTGATACTAAATCCAGATCCTTTTAACCTGCCAGTCTTCCTTCAGAGACCAGTTATGAACTGCAGGATAAAATCATTCAGTCTTTGATTTGTGATCCAAAGAAAAATTATCTTCCTGGAGACAGGAACCTGATAGAAAGTAAGGAGCATGGACTTTGGATTCAGACTGATCTGGATTGTAATCTCAGCTTTATCATTAATTTGCTATGCGACCTCATCACTCCACCTGTTTGAGTCTCTGAGTAGCTATAACACATCTACCACTCTTGAGTTCTGGTGATGTTTAAGGGCAAGGATGTTCACATGACCCATGACAGGTGGTCAGTAAATGGAGGAGATGGTGGTGGACATGGTTGTGGTCAGGGTGGTTAAACACAAACCTTATTCTCCATATAAAGCTGCAAATGACTGGCTGTTTCTAAAACCTGCTAGCTCAAATAGTCAATGAGTCCTTACTGTGTGTTACACATTACACCAGCTTTCTGCTGGGATCCTAGAGAGGAATCAAACACGGACCTTTCCCTTCAGCATACTGTCTGGATGTCAAAGTTTTATCCTATTGAAGACATCTGGTGGGCAGCATTCTGGGCTCTGAAGGCCCTCCTGGCTGTTCCCTGAAAGGAGTTCTATCAGAATCTCAACAGTCCCACTGGAATTGCATTTCTAAAACAATCTCTTAGAGTTAACAGTCTTCCTACTTCAGAGTCACCCACTTTGTTATTCCCTCTTTGTCATGCCTCTGAGGCCCTTCTTTCTCTTCAGCATCTCTCACATCCTGCCTCTCTCTCTCTTCTTCCCACCTCTGACAACAGCCTCTTTTGTTCTTTCACCACGATAAGCTCTTTTGAGTGGCCTTTATGACATTCTAACCTGGTCCTAACATACCTTTTCAGTATTCCTGCACATTTGCCATCCCTGTTATGCCTCAGGCATTTTCTTTCCAACCTCTGCGTCTCCCCACACCTTGTTCCCTTGGCCTAGAATGTGGTCTCTCTACAACCCCCCCA